TCGTTTATCAAACAACCCCTTTTTTTGGTTCAAAAGCGCCAAATAACCCAACCCCGCCGATATAAAGTCTTCAAGTTATGGTGACCCCTATTATTGAGAAATTTTTTCCCCACAGAGATGTCTGGAATTAAATTGCTTTTTTGCCAAAACCGATGCCAGTATCGGAGCCAATAAACCGCGAAAACCCTTTAAGGCCTAATATCGATGCAATAACTTCCTTTATCTGAAGCGCTGGAAAAAAGATGCTCCTTTTGACCCCGATTTTTTTGCCCCAAAAAAAAACCTCCAAGAAGGCCAGGGCAAGGCAAAGGCCAATTACCCATCAGGGGGGAACCAAACCCATCTTTTTCATTTCCAGCAACCACAACGTTCCCATTTGTCCGGCCAAAATGAACCTTACTGCTAAAACTCCAGTATAAAAATAGCCGCCGATGGTCAAATGACGCACTTGTAACACATTTCAATTCAAAACCAACAATAAGAGACCAGAAAAACTCATATAGTATATAATCATAAGGTAATCCATAAGTTCATTCAACCAGTATACCCACGTTCAAACCTCAAACTTTAACATATCTGTTTCCTACTCTTTCAAATTCCACCAAATTTAAGGAAGATTCTGTTCTTTTAACCTTCTGTTTCCCTTGTTCCTTTTATACTTCCCCGTCCAAATCTTCCTTTCTTTACAAAGAAGATGTCACACCACAAGCGCCGGGTAACAAATTTAGGTCACGTGGACACATTCTACTAGTGACAGTATTCGAGATATCATATCCATCCGTCTATCTATTTATCTATATATGGGATGCCACCACTTTGAGGGTTTTGGTTTATTTTCCCAGTGTCACTGTCAGATAAGAGGCGGTTATCTGACCCTTTCCAATGGTTGATTGATAGAACACCAACACATATTAGTATATGTCAGCATTGTAAGGGCATTGATGAGTCGAACATTCTTTTGTTTTATACCGCCATAACCAAATTCAAATTCAAATTCATATTCAAATTCTAAATCCTAACAATACAAATGGTAGCGCCTTGTACTGTTATATTGTGTATAAAACAACCTCAAACTTGCATTACCCGATTAGGAAAAGTAACGAAAATTTTTCGATTTGTTTCTTTTTCTGTCTTTTGAAACTTTTCGCTGAGAAGAGCTAATCAAGACAAAAGTGAACATTAACGTGAACGTGAACGTGAACATGAAAGTGAAATTTATAAGAGATCTTAACCATAATGATATACATCTTATCAAGATTATTAGTGATTAAAAGTAGACACTAATGGGTACTAACATCAATTGATAACTGCTCAAAGACTGAATTACAATCTTTTCTCTATATTACAGTAAACCATTGTAATTATATTTGGCTATTTTAAGGGAAATAGAAATTTTTGGTTGATAGATTGGTTATTTAGGATATATTTAAAAGGATCATGTCGTTCGATAGACCTGAGGTTTACAGTGCTCCTGTTCTGCAAGGTGAATCCCCAAATGACGATGATAATACCGAAATTATCAAGTCATTCAAAAACTTTCTTTTGGAATTTAGATTCGATTCCCATTTCTTGTACAGAGATCAACTTAGAAATGCTTTGCTAGTCAAGAATTATTCTTTGACCGTGGATATGGAACATTTGATTAGTTATAATGAAGATTTGTATAAAAAATTGTCAGATGAACCTTCTGACGTGATACCTTTATTCGAAAGTGCTATAACGCAAGTGGCTAAGAGAATTGCAATCTTAAATAAATCTACTGCAGATGTCAACCCTGATATTGTTACTCGTAGTTCAGACCCTGATGAAATTAAATTACCAACTTTCCAACTGATTTTAAATTCAAAGGCAAACCAGATTTTACTGAGAGAATTAGATTCACAACATGTTTCAAAAATTGTCCGTCTTTCTGGTATTATCATCTCTTCTTCTGTTTTATCTTCAAGAGCTACTTATTTATCTCTAATGTGTCGCAACTGTAGACATACTACCTCTATGAGAATCAACAATTTCAACTCCATAAATTCCAGCAGTTCGGTTACTTTGCCTCATTCGTGCTTATCTTCTGCAAACACAGACGATGAATTGAATGGCGGTGCTCCAAAAAATTGTGGTCCAGATCCTTATATTATCGTTCATGAATCATCTGAATTTATAGATCAACAGTTCTTGAAATTACAAGAAATTCCAGAATCTGTTCCAGTGGGGGAGATGCCACGTAATATTCTAATGACCTCAGATCGTTATTTAACAAATAGAGTTGTCCCAGGTACCCGTGTAACTATCGTTGGTATATACTCTATTTATCAAGCTAAAAAGAGAAACGCTGCAGGTGGCGGTGGTGGTGGTGTTGCAATTAGAAATCCATATATTAAGGTTCTAGGTATACAAACTGATGTTACAACTAGTGGACTAAGTGGCTCAACAATGGCCATGTTTTCAGAAGAAGAAGAAGAAGAGTTTTTGCAATTGAGTAGGAGACCTGATATCTACGATTTATTTACAAAATCAATTGCCCCATCGATCTTCGGTAACCAAGATATTAAGAGGGCAATCGTTTGCTTGTTGATGGGTGGTTCTAAAAAAATTCTACCAGATGGTATGAGACTAAGAGGTGATATTAATGTTTTGCTATTAGGTGATCCAGGTACCGCTAAATCTCAATTACTTAAATTCGTCGAAAAAGTTTCTCCAATTGCAGTATATACATCCGGTAAAGGTTCATCTGCTGCTGGTTTAACTGCTTCTGTGCAGAGAGATCCTGCCACCAGGGAATTTTACTTGGAAGGTGGTGCAATGGTATTAGCAGATGGTGGTGTCGTTTGTATTGATGAATTCGATAAGATGAGGGATGAAGATCGTGTTGCTATCCATGAAGCAATGGAACAACAAACTATATCTGTCGCAAAAGCTGGTATCACCACTGTTTTAAACTCCAGAACAAGTGTCTTAGCGGCTGCTAACCCAATATATGGTCGTTATGATGACTTAAAATCACCTGGTGAGAATATAGATTTTCAAACTACAATTTTATCCCGTTTTGATATGATTTTTATTGTAAAAGATGATCATAATGAGGAACGTGATATTTCAATAGCGAATCATGTTATTAATATACATACAGGTCGTGCTGCTCAAAATGATGAGGAATTAGAAGAATCCAGAAATGAACTTTCTATGGAGAAAATGAAACGTTACATCACATATTGCAGGCTCAAATGTGCTCCAAGATTGACACCCGAAGCTTCAGAAAGATTATCATCCCATTTCGTTGAAATCAGAAAGCAATTGTTAATTAACGAATTAGAATCTACAGAGAGATCCTCAATTCCAATCACAATCCGTCAATTAGAAGCCATCATCCGTATAACCGAATCGTTAGCCAAAATAGAGTTAAGTCCAGTTGCAGAAATAAGACACGTAGAAGAAGCTATTAGATTATTCCAAGCATCGACTATGGACGCTGCTTCTCAGGATCCTATCGGTGGTTTAAACAACAATAATTCATCCTTATTCGCAGAAATTCGTCGTATTGAACAAGAATTGAAAAGAAGATTACCAATTGGTTGGTCTACCTCATACCAAACACTCAAAAGAGAATTCGTTGATTCAAATAAATATTCACAAGCTGCTTTAGACAAAGCATTATATGTTTTAGAAAAGCACGAAACTATTCAATTGAGATATCAAGGTCAAAATATATATAGAAGTGGTGTATAGTTTTCTCAACAACTAATATGTAACATTATTATCCACCAACCATAGGCACCATTGATGATTTAAAGTTGTATTATTTATATATGTATCCTTATTTTAATAGTTAATAATTGTTCAATATGCTTTATATCCTCATAATCGAATTAATCGGCATCTTGAAATTTTTAAAGATATAGAAAAAAAAGCAAATGTGATGAAACCAATATACAAACTATATAAAAGCTGATGCTTAAAAGTAATAAAGCAAGAGTTTATCATATCGAATTGTAATCAAGGAGTGTCAAAGATGTCGTATGTATACTATAATTACAACTATTTTTATTTTTTCCTTCTCCAAGAACGAAAAACTTGGTTAACAGAAGGAAAATACCATATTATTTTAACAATAAGTTGATGATAATATGATGAAATGAATAAATTAATACTAACAGAAATAAAAAAATTATTTGAATTTTAAGTTATGTTTTAATAGTGATCTTATAAATAGACCCAAATCTGAGTTATCTAGGGAAGAGTTAGAGCAACTGGAAGAATTTGAATTCAAACATGGCCCAATGTCACTTATAGATGAATCTATGGTGTTAAGGACTCCAGTAATAATATCATTGAGGAATAATCACAAGATAATTGCAAGAGTTAAAGCTTTCGATAGGCATTGTAATATGGTTTTAGAAAACGTAAAAGAACTTTGGACAGAAAAGAAAGGGAATAAAACAATTAATAAGGAAAGATTTATCAGTAAATTATTTTTAAGAGGTGATTCTATTATTGTGATATTAAAAGCACCAGTTCAATAATAATCCAATGGTCCTTCATTTTAACCATTTAATCGCATATTTTCTTTACTTTAAGAAAGAGATAAGAAAACATTGTTTTATAGCATTATGTAGTATAAAGATAAAAAAAAATACTCGTTATTTCGATTTAACCAATATTGTCTATTAATACTATTATTATTATACATGATGAATTATAAATTCTTGAAAGATAATTATAAATTTATAAGAAATGCCTATTTGAAGTTTTTCAATGGATCAGACTTTGAACCACTTCTTTTTTTGAAGACTTTATTATTCTTCTTGTGACGATTTGATTTTTTGACACTGTGGAAAGGAACGAATCCTACCTTCTTCTTACCTTCTCTAGCTTCAGCTGGTAGTAAGTAATCTGGAACTCTCTTCAAATGTTGTTGAACTCTAGATGGATGTAATTCCTTATCATGTCTCAAACTTTGTAATTCTTGTGGATTTTCTTCAAAATGTCTCTTCAACTTTTCACTTGCTAGTAATTCATCTTTCAATTCCTTAACCCTAGCTTCTCTGATCGCAACTTGTGTAACTGCACGGAAACCATCTTCCATTCTATAACGGAAACCTTCAATTTGTTTAGTATCAAAAGAGTATGGTTGAAGTTCTAATCCCAATTTACTTTGCTGTTTAATAATACGGGATAATATTTTTTCATCTCTCTTAGTACTTTGATACATAGATGGCTTATGTTTACCAAATTCTTTCAATGGAACAACAAATGAAATAGCAGTACCGGTTTTACCTGCTCTTGCTGTTCTACCTATCCTGTGAACATAAGACTTTGCGGTAGTTGGTAGATCGAAGTTTAATACACAAGCAACATTTTGGAAATCAACACCCCTTGAAACACCAAATTCTTTATCCTTCTTTATCTTAGAGGCTTTCTTTCCCTTTTTATCTTTAGTATCATTCGAGTCCTCGACTTTATCCTGTTCCTCTGAATTAGTCTCTATTTCATCATCATTCTCTTCATCTTCTTCCTTGATGTATTCTGTATCATCAGTGGCTATTAATAAATGATAAACATTTTTATTGAATTGGTCAACTATATGTTGTCTGGAGTTTGCTGGTAATTCACTGTTTAAAATACATGATTTAATACCGAATTGTTCAAGGACTAATTTCAATCTATATCCTCTGTCTATGTTATTAACAAAGATTAAAGTTTTACCCTTGATTAAACCTAACTTAAAGATCACATAGCATAATAGGAACTTATCAAATTCGCTAGTTTTAACATAGTATTGAATTAACTTATTTTTATCTTTACTAATTTCATCATCGTTAAATTTTAAAATTGCAGGAGCACGGCAGAATTCTTTCTTTAACTCTTGTATATCATCATTTAATGTAGCACTCATTAAAAAGGTTTGCAAGTTTTTCTTTAAGGGCAAATATTCGGCAATCTTAGATAAATCTTCCTTATAGCCAAATGTTAAAACCAAATCGACTTCATCGATTACTAAAAACTTCAATTCTTCTAATGATACCGATTCAACATTTGTATCAAGTAACGTCATTAATTTACCTGGAGTAGCAATGATAATTTCAGGTTTTTCTAATAATAAAGATGTTAAAACTGAGCTAGGCATATCACTTGAAATGTTTAATGATCTAATATCATTGGAACAATAAAGAATCATCTTGTCCAGAACATCATTAACTTGTTGTGCCAATTCTCTTGTAGGGACTAAAATTATACCCAAAGTATTACTGGTACCATCAATCTTATCAGTATTTGTTTTTTTATAATCTAGAATAGTTTGAATTACAGGAATCAAATATGCTAGGGTTTTACCACAACCAGTTGCAGCTTTTGCAATAATATCTCTCTTTTCTTGTAAAGCCAAAGGAATAGCATGAGATTGGATCAAAGTAGGATTTTTAAAACCATTACGTTTAATCGCTTGTAAAAGTCTGGTGTCTAGCTGTAAAGATTCGAATGAGATGGAATCATCAATATATGCCTCTGGAGCCAAAACTTCACTGGAACTCATTTTTTGACCTTTTCTTAACTGAATTCAATAGTTATGATAGTATAAAAAGTAGAACCTAGATGATAGGAACTATTCTGATCAAATTGAATTTGAATCAAAACTTAAATCAAAACTTTCTTTAATACTGCATTGTATGCGATGAGATGAGATGAGATGAGATGATGAGCTGAAATAAATTTTTCAGATTAAAGCTATATTACAAAATGTCGAATTACGTATACAATGATTGATATTTAAAGGTAGATAATTTATATATAATATATATGATTAAAATGTATAATTTATAAAGGAGTTGGTTACAATGCATGATGGTACCATTATCAGCATAATGGAGACACTAGATCTGAACTTAAGTTCAATATACTCTCTACCCTACCTTTTAGTGGGTTGGAATTACATTCCTCAATTTTCATTTGAGAAAAATTAATGCGAGCAGTATTTTTACCAATTGTAATCATACCACTAATATCTTCTTTGAGAGAATCCTTGCTATCTTCGTCTTTATTTAATAATAATGTAAAACATTCTCCAAATTGTTCTTTGAAAAGTCTTGCTATGCTTTTAATTTTTGAAACTTCATCTTGAGCTTTGGCTTCCTCTGTAACCCCTGAGTGATCATGGTTACAAGTTTTACTACTCATTTTCACACTTGATGGGGACGAATCTACACTCATTAGAATAGCTATTATAGAGTCTGCAACGGTATCACTTATTATGCCTTGCGTCCACTCCAATGATGCGACTGATTCAGCTACCGTTAATCTCAGATCTCCCATTATTTGTAAGACCAGCTTCCCGTTAGATGATTCTTCTTTTTTTACGGTAGTATTGGTGATATTATCGTCATCAGAAATAACAGTAATATCACCAAACATCTGGCATAAATGCCAGTAAATCAACTCTTTCTTACAGTTGACTTGAACTGATTGTCTTTCCCTCAATACGGTGGTCGACAATTCGGAATGGTGTTCTCTTAAATCTGACAACGAAACTAAATTCAAGTCGAAATTCTTCTCATCAGATACTAAAATCCCTGATACTATTATATCATCACCCCCTTCTTCTTGTATTCTCTCTGTATTTTCTTCTTCTTTAATACTTTGTCCTGTCTCTAATTGCTCTTCTGTTTCTTCAATATTATCTTGAGTTTCTTCTTTAATTACACTAGTTTCTTCTTTAAGTATACTAGTTTCTTCTTTTTGTATTTCATCCACAATATTTCCGACTGCCTTAGCCACCTTAATTCCTTTAAATTCAAGATCGACTTCAACACAATTTCTAGGATTAAAGACATGTACTTCATTTTCGGTACCCTTTAAACTCGAAAAATTAGAAAGTAAAGCTGATTTCAACCTACCCATAGGATTTGATTCTCCATGGACTAAAATTACATTATTAGCACTAATTTTTTCAATGAATTCTATATTTTCTTGGAAATCAACATGTGCAGCAAATGAGATTTCTTCAATTTGGCAACGTCTCGGAATTGACACATCAGGATTATTAATAGAAGGAATATTTTCAGGTTCTAGCATTATATATTTAGCCATCGTACCTTCCACAGAATAACCAGTAATTAAAACCATATTTTTATCTTCGGGGCACCATTTCTCTAATAAATCTCTCGATAAACCATTTTGTAACATACCTGGAGATGCCAACATAACACTTGGTCCAAAATCCTGGAATTCATCTAGATTTTTTAGATATGATATATGTTTAAATATGAAAGGATTCGTTTGTGAATCTCTAAATTTCTTTCTAATATCATCATTCATCATATTCACATAAGTTTGATACACACTCATACACTTCTTTGCCAAATTTGATGCATAGTATATTGGAACTTGACCACTTCCAAGCTCATCTGCATGTTGAGACCAATATTCATCTAAGATTAACATCAATTCTTGAGCTCTACCCAAGGCAAAAACTGGCATTAAAACACGGCCACCTCTTCCCACTGTAGAATGAATTAGTTGTGTTAGCTTTTTTTCTCTGTTTAATCTTGGTTCATGTGTTGCTGTACCAAATGTTGATTCCACAATTAAAACGTCTGATGGTAAAGGTGGTACTTCAGCGGAATTCAAATGGCGATCCATTTCTCTTGAGTAGTCACCAGTGAATAGCACTCTTAACCCTGCTATCTCAATTTGAAACATAGCGGCCCCTAGAACATGACCTGCATGAAATGCAGTAAATTTTATACCATTGACATCCATAGTTGAATGATAGTCGATGGTTTCAATTTTGTCAAACGAGTCAGCCAAATCTTCATCCGTATATAAATTTTCATCTTTCTCTGAAGAAGTAGTACCAATACTGGTAACTCTGACAAAATCTCTAAGCAACCACCTGTATATAGCTTTCGTTGGATGCGTCATGAATACTCTACCTTGAAAGTTTGTCCTTTTCATGACATATGGCAAAGATGCAGCATGGTCTAAATGGAAATGCGAAATCAATAAAACATCAATTTTAGATAAATCAAATTCATCATAAAATGGCAAAGATGCCAGACCTTGATATGCTGGATGGATCCCAGTATCAAGCATGACGGTTTTCCCTTTAAACTGCAAAACATGACAGGATCTACCGACTTCATTACTACCACCTAAGGAAAGAAATTTAAAGGAAGTATCACTAGGTTGTTCCATTATTAAAGTGTACTAATAACTAGAGCTAGAAAAATCTTCTTTCTTTCTCTTTCTCTTTCTCTAAAATAAATATTAAAGAATAACTGAAAATTCAATTCCATTCTAACAAAATATCCCAAAACATTTACCCCTTTATTAGTCGCTACTCCAAAGGATAATGTTCTAGAATATTGATTTGATAAACACTAAACTTTCCTGGTATATTAAATAGATCTAAGATAATTGATAATTGAAGAAGATACCATGAAAACTTGAAGTTGAAGGGACTAAAAAAAGTGTAGCCTTGAAAATAGTATTAACTCAAATTTGAAGAAGAAAAATAATGGAAAGAGGAACACCAAAAGGGGCAGAATTTGGGATATAAATCAGATATAAGAATGCACTGTTAGTAAAAAGACAAAAACATCAAATAGGTTATATTAGCCTTCGAAAATACCAATAACTAAATCTCGATCAAAAAGATAAAGCTAACACTGAAAATAAAAATAAAAAGAACATACAGAATTTACTTCACAGTAATGCTAAATAGATCACCCTTGACTGTCTTGATGATATCTTTACCTATAAAATATACTAACTTACAGTTCATTTTAACTGATTTAATATCTTACATTAAATTATTTAATTTTTTATATCAAATATTTTTTATTTTTTTCCAAATTGCATATACAAGAAATTGTCTCTTCCAGACTTAATTGACCAGATGAACCAGGTAGATAAGAAATTCAGAGAAAAGTTACTATGGTAATATCCATACTCAATGTAGAATGTAGTTGATATTAATATTAATAATTAATTGATAATGTTACATTAGTGCATCTATAAATAGTCTATCTAATATAATCTGAAGTATTAACTTTGAAAAAAATTCTAAAAAAAAAAACATTGGGTTTCGTAACGTAATATGCTTGATATAAAGATTCATGATGTCATCTTCTCTTGGTCATGATATAAAATGAAGTAGACGAGTATGGCCAGATAATAACCAACTAACGTAAATAATTTGATTCGGAATTTCCCTTCCAAAACTCATCATTTGTGGTGATGTTTTGTTGAGGGTTCCAACTCGAACGTGAAGTTGATGGAAGTCTATTCCTACTAACAATGTTTTGTCCAAATCCTGATGGGAACTGCCCATTGTTTAGTTGTGTTTGTGAATTCTGCTTCATGTGTAGGCCAACTGTAGAATTGTTATAATCGACTAATGGTTGGATTTCGGATAAGAGATCCACATCACCCTGTAAGACAGTATTAGCCTGTGCAAATAAGTCATTCTCAGTGGAGTTCATCGTTGAAAGAGCAGATATGTAATCAGTAGTCCATGTTGAAATATTGTTAATCATATCATGTGCACCATTACTAAATAAAATGCTTCCAAAGTTTGCATCGGGAGGAACTGGGATTGGATGGCTATTGTCAATAGACATAGGTTGTGAGATTTGAACATGATTTTGAGCAGACGAATGGACTTCATTTGGAGTGCCTGGATTATTTGAAATAGTGGTAGCTGAATTATTTGGAATATTAGGAGTTGGAATGTTCATATTTTGGATATCAGGATTTGCTGGGTGACCTGACCCCATCATATTATTAAACATAATATCAGGTTCCCTCTTTATGGATTGATTTGAGTTAAATAGTTCTGGAGCCGAAGCAACGGAACCCTTAGGCTTGTTTACAAAATTGGCATCCCTTTTGAAATTATTTGATAAGTAATTCATGTTTTTGTAATTTCCAGTAGGAGTCAAGTCACCTACTTGGGATGAATTCAAAGATGAAAGGTATGCTTGTAGATTTTGACGTGCTACATGCTGTTGCAAGTAAGCTTGTTGTTCAAATGGTTTCCAATCGAAATCTTTGTAATTATCTGGTTTTTTGATAATGTATTGATTTTTCATCACTTCAATCTCACGATCTGTCATAATTTCATTAATTCTTCTTTTGTCCATTTCTGTATTGACTGTACTATGTATTTCATCATCATTAGTTGTGGAACTCTTATCTGTAGAATCATTTTCTGAATTATCATCACCCTTATCAGTTGCAGTATTAATTAACAAATGCGATAAGCCCCTCGGAAGTGAAGTATTCTCCAAAACCTTCTTCCTTCTTTTAAAATCTTTTGTCTCTTCTCTATCAACCTGAGAATTCTCAACAAATCCAACATATTCTTGACCTTGTCTTTTACCGAATATTCTATTAACTGCTGGAGGCATACCGTCGTTATCAATTTCACCATAGCTTAACTTAGAGGAATGGCTATTTTCCTCCTTTATCACCACATCGTTTTTACCAGACGAAATGTAGATCAATTCTGAAGAATCTGGGCCACAACGTTCTATCAAATTACCTATTGTTGCATTCATTAGTTGATCAAATGTATCTCTAAATATTCTTGCGAAGTCAGATCTCTCCGTCATCGCATATAAGCAGACAGAACAGGCCCTTAAATCATCCATAGTACTAAATAAACTGGCACTAACATGAGGTCTGGTATGCTTAGACTCATCTCCAAGTGTTTTTCTGCGTTGATCATCATAGTTCCTTGTTAACCACATACAATAGATTAGAGTCACACCAGCCACAAATACTATATGTACCGCTGGTGTTGTATGCCCATGAACTGTTTTTTGATGGAATATCTTGTAAAGTTGGCAAATCTGACCAGCTGCAGCCTGACATTCTCTGAATAACCTGTTTTCTGGAGCCAATACTTCCAAATATGGCTGGATTAATAACCTGACTGAACGATAATAGTAAAGTTTTAATGTTTCAATTTCATAATTTCTGAAATTAGACCTAGAACAACCAGATCGCCATACCTCTAAATCATGGAAAAATCTCTTAACTAGAGGTAGCTGATGCTTCAAAGTTTCTTTGTTTGTATGTACTTGAGGTAAAATTTGCAATGTTTCCACAAAATGAGACTCAATTCTCCTTAGTTGTAGAGATTGATTAAAAAAATACACATTGTGAGAGTGCCTACCTCTTTCTACAAGATTTTGACCAAAAATGAAACAATCTTCACTTAACAGTGGCAGATCAATTTCACTCTCAGAAATCGTATAAGGTTTCCATACTGATATACAGATCATCCTTTCAAGAAGATAAACTGACCAAAATAATCTCAATTTCTTCTTTTGTTCAAGATCCTGTGGACTGAACTTATTCATATGCAATTTGTTTTTACAAATAGACATCACATCCTTGATGATTTCGTACAAAACAGAAGAATCTCTATCTGTTCTCAATACATAAAGAACTAATAACGTCAATAATTCAACTTGTTGTAGATATGTCAAATTTTGACCACATCTTGTAATGTGACGTATTGCTGTAGAGAAATAACGTACAGGAGCTAAACCTATTTTTTTTCCTGATGTCATATATAAACATGCACTTATGCTAAATACTAACCACATCCGTCCACATGCAAAATGGAATTCAGTCTCAGAATATGAATGAATTTTATTACGAATATAACAATGATGGAAATTGTAAATTTCCTGCTCATCTAAAAGTGGGTATTTAAACTGTAACCTGGTGAAGTATGTATCCAAAAACAATCTTGACAATTTCTCATCAAATTCAAATACAGGATCATATAGTAAAAATTGCTTTAAACTATATTTGGCAAAGATACACTTTGAAAAATCAATAGAGTCGACTGAATCAGAAGTTAATGCTGGTATATCCCTAAGTATATGCGACGCTTCTGAATCATCCGGATTTGGTGTGTATATTGGAGTCTGTTGGGGATATCTAGTTTGAAAACTATGAAGTTTTTGTTGATTTGGAATTTGAGGATTGAAAGCAGAAAGAATTCCACTAGAACTTGGGGTATGAGAAATATAAGGACTAGGTAATGCAGGACTTGGAGTTGTAGAAGCACTACCCTCAGTGACAAGTGATTCTAGGTCCCCCACTTCGCCTAATAAATGACAGATTTTTTTATAACGACCAATCTTGGAATTATATGCTGCACTACCGGGTTGCAGCTCAATTAAAGCCTCCAAATATTTCAATTTCTTTTCTAGTAAGGAACTATACTCTTCACTAAGACCTGCTACATTATAACTACGACGTTTTCTCGATTGTATTCCTGTTTTACCTTTTTTCGTTTTCTTATCATCTCCCAATACTTGTTTGTTTGCATTATCAACATCAGTTCCTAGAACTGAGCTTGGACTTGTAGAGACAACATCAGCTGTGGTCTCTGGTACAGAATTAGTTGATGTCGTTGGTGAAGGTTTAGATGAAAGTTCAGGCTCTTCTTGAATAGGTTCACTTTTATTAACATGAGTGTAACGAGCTGGTTGAATACATCTAACACCTGCCTTCAAACAAGCAGTACAACTAGGTAATTTATGATCACAACGCTGTTTCCTTCTTCTACAAAATAAACATGACTTCGACCTTCCTTTCTTGTCTTTTAGTAATATATCAACTTGGTTACCTGCTAATTCTAGTTCTTTTTGAAATCTTTCAAAATTTTCCTGGCTAACTTCCTTCTTGGGTCTCCCCATTTTAATGATATAATATCAGATACTAGGTTAGCCACTATGTCTAGTAACTTTAAAAGAGACCTTATGCACTTTTCGTTATTTCAAGTATGACTATAATGCGAGTTTGCCTCTACAAAAATATTGCCTAATAGATCTGGATAACAATGAGATCTTAGATTAATAAATAAATGGTGAAAAGAAGCTTATGAAATATTTTAATATTTCTAGAGACCTGTGTATATTTATTTGAGTATTTATCAAATTCTTAGATCACAGAAAGCCTAAAAAAAAAATCTTCCTTGTTTGAAATTAGCTGAAATTGTTTAAGTCTTTGATTAAAATGAAAAGTGATTTCTTGAAACTTGACCGTATCTAGATATTGAAGCGCGTAATTAGTTACTTCAACAACTCTTCGTTTCCCACTCTTGCTCAGTCTCTCTTTCGCTTTTCCATTTCTCTGTTACTTTCCAGGCTAAACGGACTCCCTCTTAAAGAATCTAGCAGTTCTTGTTACAGGACAAATATTCTTTAGAACTAATTAACGTATTTCCATTGCCATTTATTTCAAACAGAAAACTCTCGAGCATATAGAATATAGGAATTTATCAGTGTTAACTTGAAGGGGAAAAACTAATGTTTGCAATACAAAAAAGCAATGCAATACAATTAACATCGTAGTAAAAAAAAGATGCTAAGAAAAAAATCTGGATCAAACATATTATTGTTCCATCTACGTATAAATCACTAGTAATGAGATTATTTTTGAAGATTTTTTCTTCGTTGTTTCAATTTCGAGAAGTGTGTAGTTCTAATGTGAGAAAGCCCAGCTGCTTGTTAGAAAACAGAAAAAATTAATGATAAAAAGAAAAAATGACGAAAACCAAACTAAAAGTCATGTTAGAAAAGAGGAAGACAAAGCTAAGAAAGCCAATAGTAGCTGAACAATATTAAGAACTTGACAGCTATAGTGACCTTCTTCTGGGTTAAGACTTAACATTAGTGGTTTTTTTTTTTATTTAAAATTTTTAACGCTGGAATGATTCTTAGAGCAACAATGGTATATGAAGGAGGGACATTTCTAACTGAAATTGGATTGCTATGGTTGTTTTGCAGTTTTAGAAGACTAGAAGTACGAAAATTTGTGAAGAAAGATTCGAGAGAAGATGAAGTGGTAAATTAAAAATTGAAACTAACAACAACAACAATAACATCTTAACAATACGGTCGGTTTATTGGTTTCGAATTTTTCATTGAAGAAACCTTGCATAATAGTTTAAATTAATTTTATGTGATTGAATATTTCACACCCAAATTCAGAATTATGGTAGGTAGGGCAACCGTATGCTTACTTCAAATTTCTATCTTTAGAGATTCCTATGATCTTGAAATTTTTTCTTTGTAATTGGGCAGAGCTCTTTTGTTCCAGCAATTGGGTTAACCTCATCTATGGGAAAAATAGCTTTCAACGTTTGTTACCACACAGTCAGCCTTATTTTAAGATTAACGGAATTCCTCTGCATTGGGTTCAATATTACTCACACACAAATCTTAACATATAGTCTGCATAGATAATTGAAATCACAATATTTTTCTTTTTTTTTGGCTCAATTGTGATCTTCGTCTGATCTCTTTGGAATCAAATTTTAATTCATAGCTCTAATTCCTCTTTGGTTTGTCCTTAGTGAGATCTTTCGAAGACTTAGAAAATTTTTCCGAGTTAATGCTGGATTAAGCTAGAGGGAAAAATAATAACATGCAAACAACAAGATCCGCAAGAGGAAATAATCACCGGATTGGATATTGTGTAAATTTTCCACAAAAGTATTTTATGGAGCCCAAACCTTTGATCAATTCGTAATTCATTGCATGAAAAGTCTATACAATATAACGATGCCCCCAAACTAACTCTATTTTCTTGATACGGAAAAGTGGTAACCGTAACCTGAAACAAAATAACAGCGATCGAATAATACAAATTTATTTTAATTGTGGTAAAAATCAGCTAATTTTAACACAGAGAACAAAATACAAACAGAATTGATTCTATTTGTTCTACGAAACCCTTTCCTATTTTACATCAACCTTTTTTCATAATTTAATTCCATCCAGAAATAATGCTTAGTATACGAAATAAACTGCAGCAACTAACAATTACTTGACACAATTTTTCAATAAGACCTCATACAAAGTTATTTCTTAACCAACGTAAACTGAACAGTTGGTTTAATCATAATATTATATTGTATTATATTCCGTTTAATTTTAAGTAAAAATATACAATAGCCACCACCAGTTGTAGTACCGGGTTTTAAAGTTGTATCCGACAAGTTAGCACTAGTTTTACTTCACTTAGCCGCTTATTGGTTGTCCCTAGGGTTTGTCAAAGGGTGTATTATGAATCTTCCAACTATTTTAAAGGTCCATGTACCCAAAGGCTTCTTATAAAAAAATAATTTGTCTGAACTTCTCTTAGTATTTGCATTTTTATTGGCTGTTCCTATAACTTCAATATGACAAACATAATAAACAATTTAGGTTTACCAGCCAATTCTAACTTTTCATTTTTTTTGTCCCTAATATCTTGACTGACTAACCTAGTCAACAGATGCAGTACCTATAGACCTCGCTGAAGCTTTTTTTCTTCTCATAGGTATCAATATAGTCGTTATCATCCCTATCTCTTCCCTTTCAAAATTGCATACTCGACTTAAAACATATCTTGATGAATAACCGATCTTCTTATTAGAATTTTATTGTTGGACTACTTCGATTCTAATATTTATTATTCTATCTATTCTTCATTTATTGTTTTAGCCGCTACTTAAATCCAAGATCAAAATTGAAAAACTTATCGTCCGAGATTTGAACCGTATCGAAATAATATTTTAGATAGGGTATGTGCCGGACATTGTTGTTTCTTTTTTATTTTTTGAAAAATTTCAGAATTTGAGATGAGATCAGATGAGATGAAGTTTGAAGCTATTAATCAAACTCAATGGGATCTTCATTTAAGATCGTCTATACCCTAATTTAGTCATATCAGAACTATATTTATTTCTAATGTATATTTTAATATAGTTCGGAAAATATCAATAAACTATACATTCATAGAATTATGTCTGACACGGAATCATTGACTGGAGCAACAGGTCTGTTTGAAGAACCAGAAGACTTTCGTCCACCCCCACCAAAACCACATTTTGCAGCATATCAAAGAGAATATATCTCTGAAGATTCTAAATCGAAGCAAGAAAAATTAGACCTTAGATTGGTTGGCTCTTCTCCATTATGGGGACATCTTTTATGGAATGCCGGTATTTATACAGCTAAGCACTTGGACAAACACCCTGAATTAGTTCAGGATAAAACTGTATTGGAATTAGGTGCAGCCAGTGCTTTACCATCTTTGATTTCTGCCTTAATTGGTGCAAAGAAAGTCATCTCTACAGATTATCCAGATGCTGATTTATTGGCAAACATCCAATATAATGTTGATCATTTGGTTTTCAATGGAGAAGAATTATCAAATGACCCAGCCGTTTTGAAAAGTCAATTGGATGAAAGAAATTTAGTAGTCGAAGGTTATATCTGGGGTAATGAATATACTCCTCTAGTAGATCATATTGGGGGCGATTCAAGTAAATTTGATTTAGTTATTTTAAGTGATTTAGTCTTCAACCATACTGAACATCACAAATTATTAAAAACTACAAAGGATATGATGGCTAAAGATGGTAAAGCTCTGGTAGTCTTTTCACCACATAGACCTTGGTTACTGGAAAACGATTTGTCATTCTTCGAAACAGCTAAAGAATATAATTTGGAACCTACTAAAATTGAAATGGTCAACTGGAAACCAATGTTCGAAGAAGATGACGAAACAATAGAGATAAGATCTCGTGTGTATGCATACTATTTAACTCATAAATAATCAATTTATATCTAGATATATATTTGCAAATAAAAAATTGTAAAGTTATAAGAAATTAATCCAACGCGGTTCATATGATTATACTTATTTCAAGAATCCCATCAGTTCTGGAGATAATAAATAAAACAAATAAATTATTATATCAAAAGTTTATTAATAAATGCTAGAGGTTACGTAAACTCGAAAAACTATTGTACAAAAGTTACTATAAATTTTATTGATGTCGTGACTGAATGGATCTCTATGAAATAGAGAACTCATGATAATATATGCATGTCTTGGTAAAATGACTTTGTAATCGATATTACATGAAATTACTCTTTAAACCAGAGAAGTTACATTGAGTTGAAACTTCACTTCCATCATCGAATGCAAAACAAGTTGTACCTTCAGCACATTCAAAGTATACCCAATCACTGTGGTCGCACATAGCAAGCTTACCATCGGCTGAACAAACGATTTCACCATCTGTACAAGTTGATTTGCCATTTAGCTGACCAGCAGCATATTGAGCATTCAATTGTTGAGCTTTAACATGAGCATCTTGTGTAGCAGAAATGGAAGTGGTAGCAGCTGGAATTGTAGAAGTTGTGGTGCTCACAACAGGAACTTGATCTTGATGGATAGTTGTAGAAAAAGTAGAAGCAGGAAACAGGGTAGTAGTATCACGAGAAACATTTGAATCTAAAGAACTAGTAACTTCGACAGTTGGTGCAATGACAGTGGTAGTACCGGTAACAGTTGAAGAAACTACGACAGTCGAGATAATGACAGGAGCACTTGTTTGCATAACAGAAGTATGGACGTGTGTAGCAACTTGACTGGATGTTGAAGTTGTAGATTCAGCGGTGGTTTGGTCAATAGTTGAAGAACGAACTCTAGATGTGGCTTCATTGACAGATGAAGAACGAATTCTGGAAATAGCTTCGTTGACAGTTGAAGATAGAATGACAGAGGAGGTGACTTCAGTCATAGAAGTGATTGAAGTTGTAGAAGAAGTAGCGGAGGTAGTAGAAGTGGTGGAAGTGGTGGAAGTAGTGACAGCAGTGTTGACATTGTCCTCTAAGATTTCCTTCATCATAGCAAAGTAGTTTTTACCATCTATTTCATTTGCAAAAGCTTGAGACGCATCCCATAATGCAATGCCACCAAAGTTAGGAGATGAAGAAATACTGCTAACAACGGAAGCCAATTCATTCATGTCAGAAATATAACCAGAGCCAGCAGCAGTAGCAGAAGCTGGTAAACCCAAGTATAGCTTAATGTTTGAATTTGGAGAAACTGTAGTAGCAAAGTTAGTCCAAGTGTCCCAGTTGAAGGACTTATCGACATTACAGTAATTGTTATAAAATTGAATGAAAGCGAAATCGACTTCAGCGTTAGCCAATAAATCACCAACAGAAGCATCTGGGTATGGACATTGTGGGGCAGCAGAGATATAATATTGTTTGCTACCAGATGTGAATAAGGTTCTCAATTTTGAGACTAAAGCAGCATAACCAACATTGTTATTATTTTCAATATCGAAATCGAAACCATCGACAATTGCAGAGTCAAAAGGACGTTCAGAGACACCGGAGCCTTCACCAAAAGTATCCCATAAGGTTTGAGCAAAAGTTTCTGCTTCTTGATCATTTGAAAAACTATAGGCACCAGAAGCACCACCTAAAGATAGCAAAACTTTCTTTCCCAAAGATTGACATGTATTGATATCTTCTGCGATTTGAGAACAGTGTAATAGACCATCTGAGAAAGAAGTGCTGCAAGCGTTAGCAAAATTTAAACCCAGAGTTGGGAATTCATTTAAGAAAGATAACATGATAATATCAGCATCGGAATTTTGACAGTAATAAGCTAGAGATTCTTGGGAACCAGCGGAGTTTTGACCCCAGTAGATAGCGACATTAGTCTTTAAATCGTTGTTAAAGGCCAAAGTTAATATTGGCAATAGGAAAAATAGCAATAGATTCATTGTTGAGGTGATTGAGATTTAGAGGTCTGATTTATATGTTTATTTTTAAAAAATCTCAGGGCGATTGCTGTGGTTTGTTTTGTTGCTTTTATATTATATACATTATTAAAATTTAATTAAAGATAATCGAAATGAGAAAGATTCTTATCAGTTCATGCAATTGATTATGCATTTATATATCCTCATTATTTCAATATTTCCAATTTATTTTTCAAACCCATCAAATAAGAATAAAAATAATAACCCTTCAATAACAGTCACCGTCTCTATTTACATTTCAAACCTTGTCTGTAAGAGCATGTTTAGTGAGTCTCTTAAGATACCAAAATATAAACAAATAAACAAACAAACAGAAATAAACAAATAAACAAACTATCGAATGAATAATAAACAAAGACTAATGCTTCTATTTAATTAAAACCACCATTACTTTCCAATGGTAGCCAGTAAAGTTTTGTCCAGACATTACTAGATATTGCCAACAATCAAACCAAGAAGTCCTCAGTATTCCTTTGTTTTACAAACTTTTAATCTGCAACAAGATATAAACAATACATTGAAGTAGTTACGTTCTCTAATCTTTATCTGACATATAGATAGACCCCATGCTCAATGCTTTGATATTTATTGTCATCCTTCATTAAGTACTTGGTTTTTCGAAACCAGCATCTTGGAACCAGCATTAATTTCGAATTTTCGATATTAAAACCCAGCATTGCGACATCCGGACACCGCGCACTTAAGCGACATTTGCATACTTAAAAGATTATATGAACAAGAAGAAGTAGATATTTAGTGGAAGTGACAACTATAACTACAAAGACAAGCAATAAACAATGACATTATATAATAACAGTACAGCTATAGGGATCGAAAGATAATATTTCTGTGGGTTTAATTAGATATGCCCAGATGTTGTGGTAAATATTATATATACCAAGTATAAGAGAATGGTTCAGGATGAGGGAGAATATTGTGCTTAGTTAATGACAGAACATGGTATAAACATTTAATACAATGTCATCACAGAACCAGATCACAATAGTGAATTGTTTATATTTTGTTATCAGAACCTTGGTGTTGTCTGGTGGAAGGAAGGATTGATATCCTATGCGCTTTTATTTGTAGTATAAGTTCGAATAGATATATATGGTTCTCGATAGTTTAGCAATCTTGCGTAACCAAAACATAAGATCTGATAACTATGTTTCTATTGGGCTATCAATAAATCAGAGTTGCATATTATTGACATGTATTCAGATTTCTATTTAGTTCGATTTATTATAGTGGTCGTTGTAATGACCTTCATGTGAGAAGTTGATTTTGACGGTCAACAAAGTATTTATAAAGATAAACTGCTTTAGAAGAAAAATGTTGAATTGAGACCTCAAGTGACTGTCAGACAATGGGGATGAGGAAACAATCAAGCTTGGTCCATCATAATTATTATAACCTTGTTATATTTTCTGTACGAATATTGACTTGCCATTTGAATGCCAACTTGAAATTAATTCAACTACTTAAATGAATACCAAACCTTGTATCAAGTTAGTATAACATGCAATTGATTCTCTCTTATCTATTTCCAAACGTGCTGATTAAATCATAATTATAGATTCCTCATTACTATTGAATGAAAACAAACTATTAATTAAAAGTTTCAATTATTAAAAACAAAGATCCTCACCAGTAACTTAGCTCTTAAATTTCGATCAAATATGTTGGTGACAGATGGTTTCTTTGTATATGATAAGGTGCTTATTATTTTGGTTGTTATGTTACTGACACTTCATAACTTCCAATATTTGTCCTTATTAAGACATTTGTCCTAATTTGTACGCTTTTTGTCCGCCCATCTTATCAAGAAATGAAATAGGACATAAATATTTAAATCTATAATTAAAAGTAAAAAGCTTCAATTATGAATCCTGATTGAAAACTTATTCGATAAGCTTGCTATTGATTTTAAAGATCTACAAAGCACCAGGATCGATTATTGATACGGAGGTCATTATATAAGAGGTTCTAGCTTGTTATATGCCATAAATGTGGAGAAATGGTATTGTGTATAGAGCAGTGAAAAATTTTGTGCGACATAATAGTACCAATAATGCTGCTAAGAATTTGAAATCTATTAAGGTCGAGGATATTCAGAATAGGATTGAAAATATACCAATTGAGAACTACCGTAACTTTTCAATTGTGGCCCACATTGATCATGGTAAGTCCACTTTATCTGATAGATTACTTGAAATAACTGGGGTTATAAGCAAAACTGAAGGTACATCTGGACAACGAGTTTTAGATAAATTAGAGGTCGAAAAAGAGAGAGGGATTACCATCAAGGCTCAAACATGCTCAATGATTTATAATGATAAAAGGAATGGTCAAGATTTTCTTTTGCATTTAATTGACACTCCAGGTCATGTCGATTTTAGAGATGAGGTTTCAAGATCATATAAAGCGTGCAATGGTGCAATATTATTAGTCGATGCATCAAAAGGTGTTCAGTCACAAACTGTAGCAAATTTTTATTTGGCATACAGTATGGGATTGAAATTGATCCCTGTAATAAATAAGATAGATTTGAACGTAGCAGAGGTTGAAAAAACAGCAGGACAAATTGAATCTACATTTGAAATGTCACAGGATGAAATTATTAAAGTTAGCTCAAAATCAGGTATAAATATTCAAGAAAAGCTTTTGCCTGCTGTGATTGATAGAATACCTCCACCAACTGGTATCAAGAATAAGCCATTCAGAGCTCTCTTGGTTGACTCATGGTATGATTCATATCTAGGTGTAGTATTACTAGTTCATGTAGTTGATGGATCTATCAAAAAAGGTGATAAAATTTCTAGTGCAATTACTCAAATGAAGTATGAAATTAAAGAAATTGGTATTATGCACCCAGATAGAGTTAATACTGGTAAATTAACCACGGGTCAAGTAGGTTACATAGTTCCTGGCATGAAAAATTCTCAAGATGCTAAAATTGGTGATACTTTTATGAAAGTTGGACTAGAGTCACAAACAGAAATCCTACCTGGATTTGAAGAAACAAAACCTATGGTCTTTGTTGGTGCGTTCCCAGCAGATGGTGTCGAATTCAAGGCACTTGATGACGATATCAATAGGTTAGTTTTAAACGATAAATCAGTTACAATTGAAATGGAGAATTCTAATGCCTTGGGACAAGGTTGGAGATTAGGATTTCTTGGTTCCCTACATGCATCTGTTTTTAAAGAAAGATTGGAAAAGGAATATGGGTCACAATTGATTATTACTCAACCCACAGTTCCATATTTAATTGAATATGAAGATGGTACCATTAAGGAAGTTACTAATCCAAACGAATTTCCTACAAATCGTAAAGCAAAAGGTGTAAAGAGTATTGCCAATGTACAAGAACCGTATGTTGAAGCTATAATGACTTTGCCTGATGAATATTTAGGTAATGTGATTACTCTTTGTGACAATCATCGTGGTAAACAAGTTGAAATCAAGTACATGGATAGTGGTCAATCAAATGCGATTAAACAAGTAATGCTAAGGTATGAAATACCATTATTTGAACTAGTAGATAATTTTTTTGGAAGATTGAAATCCGTTAGTCAAGGTTATGCTACTTTAGACTATGAAGATATTGGATTCCGTCCATCTGATATTGTCAAATTAGAATTATTAATCAATGGAACCACTATTGACGCAATAACCAGTATATTGCATAGATCCAAAGTTAATAAAGTTGGTACAGAATGGGTTAAAAATTTTAAAAAATATGTTAAATCCCAACAGTATGAAGTTGTTATCCAAGCAAGGATTAATAATTCAAAGATTATCGCTAGGGAGACAATTAAAGCTAGACGTAAGGATGTCTTAGCCAAGTTACATGCAAGTGATATAACAAGACGTAAGAAACTGTTAGTCAAGCAGAAAGAAGGTAAAAAAAAATTGAAAATGAGGAGTATAGGTAATATTCAAATCAATACAGATGCATATCAAGAATTTTTAAGGAGATGATGAGGTTAATCAGTAACAGCATATACCTATATAGATAGGGAAAGAGAACCTAGAGATACGAGTAATATTATTTGTATTAAAACCATGTAAATAAAATAGTAATTAATCAATCAATTAATATATAATCATTTTATATAAGTATATATATAATTTCCTATCCTTTCAGGATTTTATCTTTATGTAATTGTATACTTCATTATGGTTAGTACATATAAGAAGACAAAAATTTTTGGGGTGAAAAATAGAAAAAACTAACTCGTAAGTAGAAGGTAAGTTTGATTAATTAACAATGGTGCAAAAAAACAGTAGTATACTTACTATACGGTGATAAGATTTAAAAAAGGATGCTTTGAACAAAGATGAATTTATAGTAGTTGATTACAAATCAGCATCATCTTCATCAGGCAATGGTAAAGCAGTAGCTTGTTCCATTTCTTGTTGGTATTGTTGCATCAATTGTTCATCGACTTGGACTTCTGGTGGAGCCAAAGCTGGAGAAGCAACGAATTCCAATTGTGGGTTACCAGCCAATTTTCTAGCTAACCACAAGAATGGCTTTTCAAAGTTATAATTAGATTTAGCAGAGATATCGTAATATTGTAAGTTCTTCTTTCTGTGGAAAGTGATGGTCTTAGCCTTGACTTTTCTTTCTTTGACATCAACTTTGTTACCACACAAGACGATTGGAATGTTTTCACAAACTCTGACTAAATCTCTGTGCCAGTTTGGAACGTTTTTATAAGTGATTCTTGAAGTGACATCGAACATGATGATACCACATTGAGCATTAATATAGTAACCATCTCTTAGACCACCGAATTTTTCTTGACCGGCAGTATCCCAACAGTCGAATTTAATTTCACCAAAGTTAGTGAAGAAGGATAAAGGATGAACTTCGACACCGATAGTGGCAATATATTTCTTTTCGAATTCACCAGTTAAATGTCTCTTAACAAAGGTGGTCTTACCAGTACCACCATCACCAACTAAAACTAATTTAAAAGTAGGAACTTCAGCCATGATGATTTTCTAATAGGTTATATACTATTTTTCCTTGAATGCTTAAGATTTAGAAAAGGGAAAAAGGATAAGCAAATTGAATCACAAACAGACCTAACGTTACAAATCAATCTAACTTTAAATAGAATATTAAAATAGTCTTTATATTCTTCTTGATGATGTTGATATTATCTTGTTTGGTTCGATCAAAACTCGATTCGAACTTTGAAAATGTTTGGAAGAAAATTTTCCAGATGGGCGATGAGGGATAAATATCGTGTTGCACGGTTGTCGTATGTATTGATATAAGTATATAGAGAGAGAGATGACGGATGGTAGTATATACTATACTATACTATACTATACTATTAGTGCTACTTCACGTTGTAATAGCTGTGTTGCTGATGGTTATCGATGCTGTAAACATGGCAGAGTCTGTGTTATTTATGGTCTTATGGTTTTGACTGCTTTGATGTTTCTTGCGAGGAAGGTAGAGAAGGGAAGGGAAGGGACGAGAGAGTGGTAGCAGAGAAGTCACGTGAACATAGTGGTTGGAATCACCTGATACATAGAGGGTAACTATATTAAGAATATGTATTTCTGTACAGTAGAGCCAGTATGAGAGAGAGAGAACTGACATACTGACCAGAGACAATGCTGTCCAAGTAAGACAACACTGACATAGATGAACTGGACTATATAATATATAATGATGGAAGGGCAGGAACAAATGAGTCCCCTTCTTCCTTTATTTTTTTTTCTTGTTGATTTATATCTTGATTTGATTTGATTTGATTTGATTTGATTTGATTTGATCTCATCTGACCTGATTTGCTTTGCTTTGCTTTAAATATTCACATAATTAAGAAGGGGATAGGAGTTGAAGGACACAACAAATCAATGAGCATGAGCAGCATCTTCTGGTTCTTCTTCTAGAACCAACCAGTCCTCAGCAATAGCAGCATTGGAATCTTCAGCAGCGGAAGCACCTGCCTTAACGGTTTCAACTGGTTCATCAGTATATTGTTTCAATTGATCTCTGGTGACTTCTTCTTGAGGAATAGTTGGCTTTATTGGTTCGACCCATTTTTTAACGTTAGCATTGTCAATATCAGTTTGCATAGACATTGGCTTGGCAGACTTCAATTCTTTCAAATATAAATCTTGCAAAACATCGTTAGAGATAAATCTGGCACCGATCACTCTTGAACCATTAGATAATAGAGGCTTTGATAACAAAACAGCATTACGTCTGACCACTGAAAACATCATGATAACTTCTTTTCCTTAATAACCAACCTTTAGTGTGTGTATAACTCCTCCTATCTAGAACAGACAAGATATAATGAGATAACACCAATTGAGTGTATTCGGGAACAGCATCACACTTAAATATAAGGTTATCAAGGTAGAGTTAGTGTTAATGTCAATGTTTGAAGGTGATAGGTAAACATTGAGAAACAATGAATCAATGGATGTGGTAGCTACAATAGCTTGGGTTTGGGTCTGTTGCAGTTCTTGACGAGATTTCTTGAATTTTTGAAGTTTTGGCTGGGATGGGGGACGGGGGTTGTGTTCATCCAGAGAGAAACCAGCGTAGAAGTAGATGGACCCCATTGCATTGGGCAAAAAAAACGGTAAATTGTAGTATGATTGGTTCGTCGTTGGTGATGAATATTATGGTAGCGCTGTTATTTATTACAATCACATCTATCTATATCTATCTTTCTATATATATACCAAATACTACTTTACATCAAATATAGATGCTAATGCCAATGCCAATGCAGGTATATCATCAACTATCGTCTCATCATGTCTATCGACTGGTTCGTGGGTATATCTGTTTAGGAGGTTGGGAAGACCACTGTGTGAGCAGCAATGGTGGCGGGAGAGGAGCTGTGGTCGTGGTTGGTCTTGTCAAAACGTTTCTGGTCGAGCTGCTCGACATGCTGTTTTTATTGTTGGAATTATTGGAAAGATTCGCTCTTTGTGGCAGTTTGCTAGACCTGATGTAATCTCTGACATCCAACCTCTGCGAAGGAGCAAACACTTTGTGATACCCTGGAGATTCCCGATACATTTGACTCAACACACCGAGTTCTTCATTGTTCTCCCGTTCGTGCACTTTTGCCAACTTCAACAACCGCTTGTTTTCGTTCCGACGTGTCCACAACACCCCATTGTTACCAACCTTCTTGGACTTGTCATTCTTGTTCCTATAATAATCTGCAACTGCTTTCAAATGGTTCTTACCTACCAAATGTGACCGACGCACACTTTTGGTGTCGTGAGTCAGATAAGAATGACAATATTCACAGTAATACCTTACCATCACTATATTCCAGCTTCAATCTACCTTGTCTTGTAATGTCTTCTGGTGTATTGACCTGATCTCCATTGCATCATCTTCATATATATATATATATGTATGTATGTATATATATCCATACATATATAATCAACTGCTCATCACCAAACCCCTCCCACTTCGTACACAATGCTCTATTTCCTTGTGGTTTCGAAAAAGTGAAAAATTTAAAGATTTAAAAACTTTTCATTAGCAATTAGTATACAATATACATATATATAAAAGAGTTTTATGAAGTTATCTTATTTGATAGTTCTTCTTCTTATCGTATTTGTTCACTAAGGAAGGCTAATCGCAAGTTGTCTGACAATGTTGTTATCCAAGACTTCTTTGTTTACAAGAGCTGTAGGCTCAAAATTACCTAAGGTAGTTTTCTCTGCTACTACCAAATCAACATTCCCTATTATTTCTCAAAGATGCTACGCATCTTTCGACAGATCTAAACCACATGTCAATATCGGTACTATTGGTCACGTCGATCACGGTAAGACCACTTTGACCGCTGCCATCACTAAGACTTTGGCTAAATCAGGTGGTGCTGATTTCTTGGATTACGCTTCCATCGATAAAGCTCCTGAAGAAAGAGCTCGTGGTATCACTATCTCTACTGCCCATGTCGAATACGAAACTGATAAAAGACATTACTCTCATGTCGACTGTCCTGGTCACGCCGATTATATCAAAAATATGATTACTGGTGCTGCCCAAATGGACGGTGCAATTATTGTCGTTGCTGCTACCGATGGTCAAATGCCTCAAACTAGAGAACATTTACTATTGGCAAGACAAGTCGGTGTCCAACACTTGGTTGTCTTCGTCAACAAGGTAGACACTATTGACGACCCTGAAATGTTGGAATTGGTTGAAATGGAAATGAGAGAATTGTTGACCCAATATGGTTTCGATGGTGACAACGTCCCTGTCGTCATGGGTTCAGCTTTATGTGCTTTGGAAGACCGTGAACCTGAAATCGGTGAAAACGCTATCAAGAAGTTAATGGCTGCCGTCGACGAATACATCCCAACCCCAGAAAGAGACTTGGAAAAACCTTTCTTGATGCCTGTCGAAGATATCTTCTCCATTTCTGGTAGAGGTACTGTCGTCACCGGTCGTGTTGAAAGAGGTCAATTGAAAAAGAATGAAGAAATTGAAATCGTTGGTCACACCAAGACTCCAATCAAAGCCACTGTTACTGGTATCGAAATGTTCAGAAAGGAATTGGATCAAGCTATGGCTGGTGACAACGCCGGTGTTTTGTTAAGAGGTATTAGAAGAGATGAAATCAAGAGAGGTATGGTCTTGGCCAAGCCAGGTACCGTCAAGGCCCACACTAAGGTATTGGCCTCTTTATACATCTTGTCTAAGGAAGAAGGTGGTAGACACTCTGGTTTCGGTGAAAATTACAGACCACAAATGTACATCAGAACCGCAGATGTCACTGTCGTCATGAAGTTCCCTCAGGAAGTCGAAGACCATTCCAAACAAGTCATGCCAGGTGACAACGTCGAAATGGAATGTGAATTGATTCACCCAACCCCACTAGAAGTCGGTCAACGTTTCAACATCAGAGAAGGTGGTAGAACCGTTGGTACTGGTTTGATCACCCGTATCATCGAATGATCAGATAAAAACTATCTAGATCTAAGACACTAAGGAAAACAATATACATGCCTTCCTTGATGTAACTATTTTTTGTTTATTCGTAACCCCCCCGTCCCCACACACTCTTCACAAACACATAAGTATAATAACCAATACCAAACGAATAATTTTAGCATTATTCGTTTGATGATTGAAATAAAAGCCTGTCAAGTTTAAACCATTGTTAGGATTGTCATGTAAATAATCATATACATATATAAAGACTCCGTTGTATACATTCTGTTTGTAATGTCTTATTTGGCTTTAAATCTGATAATATTTGTTAATATCTGTTAATATCTGTTAATATACATGTCTTAATGCAATATAATCATCCATTGCTTTTTGGATTACTAATTAACCATTTCGAAAATGTGATCTCTTCTTCGGACTTTTCTTGGCAAATTCCTTTCTAATTGAGTAAGGTCTCGAAAAAGCAAAGGCATCGCAATGGTTACGTCAAAATGAATCAATCTTAAAAGAAATGGATTTAAATTAAACTTGCAACAAAAGTACAAAAATATATAACGTTCACTTAATAAAAATTCAAGAAAAAAGATTCTTGATCAAACTTTCACAAATATTATCTATTGTTATTGCAGGGCTGGGTCTAGCTTTCCTACATTCAATATCAAATACATTTGGATAAAAAGGAATCTTACTGAATTCTATTAGGTTTTATCAATCATGCCATTAAAGAAAAATTATACAAGAAGATCTCTTAATAGGAGTTTCCTTATAATGGTGCCCGTAGTTATTTTATTGACTCTATTTAAATTGCATAGTGTGTTTGCTTCTATTTTGGCTTTGGAGGATCCATTATTCTTGGCTGATTTAGTGAAAGACCCTGAGCTATTTGTAAAGCATATCTCTGGTGGTAATGATCATAATATCGATATAGGTGATTTGAATAGATCTCCTACGTTAACACCAGATCAAAAATTACTGAAAAAGGGTTTCCATGGTGCTATTAGTTCAGATTTGGAGTTGTGTAATAATTTGACTGTTAATTCTGTTTTAAAGAAGTTCCCTCAAGCCAATGCGGCTGATGCCTCTGTAACTTTAGGTTTATGTATTGGTATGGTTAACTTCTTCAACAGTGGTATAGGAGGTGGTGGTTATGCTGTATTCTCTGGTAAGAATGAGTCTGACCACTTGTTTGTAGATTTTAGAGAAAAGGCTCCGATTAATGCCCATAAGGATATGTTCGAAAATTGCACAATGTGTTCTAAAGTTGGTGGATTGGCTATTGCTGTCCCTGGTGAACTTATGGGGTTATATCATTTATTTGAGTCAAGAGGAAGTGGAAATGTAACTTGGTATGATTTAGTAGAACCAGTGGCCACATTAGGGTATAAAGGCTGGGAGGTCGAAGAAACTCTAGCTTTTGCGTTAAGGTTTTATGAGCCTATATTTTTAAAGTTATCTTCAACTTGGGAGTTTGTATTAAACGAAAATAAAACTGGAGTCAAGAGAAGAGGTGATTGGATTAGCAGACCCATATTTGCAAATCTTTTGATGGAATTAGCACATAATGGGAGTGTAGCTCCATTTTATGACCCTAACCATTGGATGGCAAAGTCAATGGTAAATACAATTCAAAACAATGGTGGTATAATATCGTTACAAGACTTCGAATCATATAATATCAATTCAAGTTTACCATTATCAATGAAAATACGAAAAGGTTTTATGAATGCTCCAAATAATGACTTAACAATTTTAACTAGTTCTGGCTCTAGTTCTGGCGCCGCATTGCTATCTGCCCTTTCTATAATGGACAATTACCCAAGTGTTAAAGGTGGCGACTATGGAACTGAAACTACATTCGAGTTAGTTGAAGCTATGAAGTGGATGGCTTCTGCTAGAAGTAGACTAGGAGATTATAATGGGCCTGATTTACCTCCTAGGATAAAAGAGGTATTAGACCAAAGTTGGACAAGCAACGCAATAAATAATATAAGGATTAACTCAACTGATCATGGCTATAAAACGTTGGAAAACTGGACTCTTTATAATCCTGCATATGAAATGAATGAACCCCATGGTACTGCTCATTTCAGTATAGTTGATCACCATAACAACGCAGTGTCTTTGACAACTACGATTAACTTGCTATTTGGATCATTGGTTTATGATAAGAACACCGGTGTGATATTTAATAATGAAATGGATGACTTCTCTCAAAACCATAGATCGAATAGTTTTTCATTAGCTGCGTCGAAATATAATTTCCCAGAACCTGGTAAAAGGCCACTGTCATCAACTTCTCCAAGTATAATTTTGAATGAAATTGGATTCCCAGACCTTATAGTCGGTGCTTCTGGAGGATCCAGAATTACAACTAGTACACTCCAGACTATTATAAGGACATACTGGTATAATATGCCACTGCTTGAAGCTATTGCATATCCAAGAGTTCATCACCAACTTCTACCGTATCAATTAGAATTGGAAAGTTTTAATCTAGTAGGAAGAGAAACGGTTAAGCAGCTGGAAAATATGGGACATGATGTCGTCGAAGAAATTCCTAAAAGTGTAGTAAACGCCATTCGATTTGTTGAAGGAGAATGGCATGCTGTCAGTGATTTTTGGAGGAAAAGAGGTATTTCCATAGCATATTAGATATCCATAAATCAGCTTTCATTCAAAGTTGATTTCTGAATTTGATAAAAACAACTTAATATAGTACTAATGTAATTACTAGTTATTCAATAAAATATTCATCTTTTCATTAGTCATCTCTTAATTATTAGCGTCAGGAAAAGAAAAGACCGTAGCGGTTCATTGCCATTAACTATAATTTATAAGGGAAAAGCGAATACACTTGATCAGAAACTTTTATTAAACCAAACATACTAGTTTTCTTGCTTTCGAGGAAAAGATACAAAGCAAAATATCTAACTTCTTGTGACACAATAATGGAGTGTTCCTCGTTCTATTCAAGTAGCTCTGTACCTAGCTCAACTTCCTCGGTATATTCAAAAAGAGATTATGAACTAAATTCAACTATCACTACTCATCAAAATACAAATAAACCAGTAACATGTTTGGATCCTTATTTACCAGAAAAGTTTGAATTTGAAGAAGTACATGATGTTATTCATTTTCTATCATCTGAATTGAAGAGTCGAGAATTTGACAGAACATTATTACTGGAACCTTTAAATTCAGACAACACAGACAACCTAAATGATTTTTTAACAGGCATTTTTAAACTTAATTTATCACTTGAAGGTGGTGAATTAAGGTGGAGCTCATTAGTTAAGGCAAACTCTTTTACTCTTTTCCAAGCTTTAAAATATATTTGGTGTCGTTTGCCAAATGGTGGTGTAATTGGATGGGACTCTTATAAATTATTTAAAGTTAAAGAAAAGAAAAAGAATTATCCAACAAGGGCATTTCTTGAAATTGTTCCAGAATCCTTAACTTCCTATGCCCATAATTCAGTGGTTTATGATTTTTTTGAATTAATATTAACTTTTACTTCAAAGACAGGATTGCACACGACTCAAATTGCTTATATATTTTCATTATGGGCATTTGAGTATCCAAGTCAGTACAAAGATGGATTTCAAAAACAGATACTAACAAATTCAATAAGCTCAGGGTTTGAGTCCTGGATTCCAGGTGCTGATGCAACTCTACATATGTTACTTTCATTTTTAAAGATATATGTGTCGCAAAATCTTCAGAAGTCCAAGATATCAGGAACAGAAATTCAATTTCTTTTAAATAGCGAATACCCGCCACTTGAAATAAAGGAAACCATTAAGAAGTCACATCGAACTATTCCATTAGTGACATTAAAGGCCCTCAACTGTAAGACTGCAATTTCATTATTAAGAAGATGTGCGAAATTATTAGATTTCTCTAATAATGACAATTTTGAAGCATATGAGGACTATGTGATACTGAAAAGCATATTCAAGTCTTCGTCTAACAAACATTTTGATATAAGAAAGATGTTGACACACGAATCTTTGCTAACGTACAATTTCTTAACTGATAACCCAAATAATTTTCTATCAGGTTGGGTCAGCCAAGACCAGAAGGATAATATTGAATTTGTTAAAGATGAAGTAATAGTGGAAAGAATCGATATTGCTGATTACTTTCCGTTGGTGTGGGAATCATCACTATCATATGAACAAACCATAGAAAAGCGTAGCTTGTTTGGGAAGATTTTATTACTTGAATTCAAATTTGACCAATTCACGAAATGGGTGGCATTTCAAGCGGTAGATAATATTGAGAGACTCTCTAACGATAGAAGATTATCAATTCCTGACACTTCTATATTGAAACCAATCGAAGAATTAGATGAAAGAACATCAGTCTACAATAATAACAATTTAAGATATAATGTCCATGATGCAACAGAATTTAAAGAAATGAGTGGTTCACCCACTTCAGTTGTGACAAACTTGATACACACATTACATTTACCCACGCATGCTTCAAAACAGTCACCACATTATAAGGAAAAACCAAAGAAATGGAATATATTTTCCAATTTTTTAAAGAATAGCAAGAGTGTTTCCAGACCAGCTTCTCCCCAAGTTATTCAACGGGCTGATAGTAATGCCAGTAATATTTCTTTCCCAACAAAATTACGTAACACTATATCAGAACCACATATCGAGTTATACATGCCAGAATTGAATTCCAAGAATGCGGCTCATGTTGAAGGTGTCCCAGATGAGATGGATACCTCAGAAAGACAATCAAAAGTCATCGATGAAGTAACATTACTGCCACCATTGATAATAGAAAACCCTTCAAACAAACCAGATAAGTCGAACAGAAGATTAAATACCCTTGGAGGCTCAAGAAAATCAATGAAGGAGAATGAAAATTATACAAAACCAAATACAGATGATGCTGAAATATTCAAATTTGACAAACTAGTAGAACACACTCCCAAAATTCATATTAATGATATTAGAGGAAAACAAGGTAAACTTCAAGTTAAAACTATAGAAGAAACTATTCAAACCCCTATAATTTCACCAATACCAGAAAGAAATCCTAATAGAAGCACACCCTTATCAGTAGTGGCAGATTATAGTCCTAAAAAGATACCTGTGTCACTAGATCGTTATAGTCAAAATACAATAAAAACTCCGTCACCATTAAGAAGATCAACTGAAATTGTAAGTAAAAGTTCACAGGAATCATTAAATATACCAGTAACACCAAACTATTATTTGAATTCTCCAAAATCTATTAGTGGTACTAATAAGAAGTATCATCACAGGTCTATCAATGTCCAAACAATACCACCTATCGAATTTCCAGATTACAACTATCATACGCCTTCTATAAAGTACGAAATTCAGAAGAAAAGGTTGTCAAGAAGAAGTTATTTGAAGCCACCATCAATCCATAGCTTGAACAGTTCTTCAGTTTTAGAAAGACAGAGGATACCATTAGAGGGAGAGACAATGCCAGTGACAGGTAGAGAAGAGAAAATGATTTATAGTGGACGCGATATACCAAGAAAGAAATCACAACAACATAGAAAATTGTATCGAGAAATAATGAATGGAAAATTTGGAACTTAGTAAAAATATAGAACCCAAGAAACCCATTGATCAATAAGTTATTACTTAAGTATTTCCATTCTATCTCAACTTCTACTATTAATAATACCAAAATACAGTCTTCAAAATCAGTTATAATAACGAACCATAATGACATTTTTTTAAAAAATATTAATAATTAATTTTAGAGTTAATATATAATTGAGTTAAATATCAAGTTCAGTAATACTAATTAACAATAACGTTAAACCTAAACCTGACACCATGTTATGTCATCTCATCTCATCTCATTCCATTGAAAATAATTATCCTACTCTCCTCCTCAACCATCTTCCACTTCTTGACCAACATTTGACAGAGAATTTAAATATCTAAATTAACCTCTTAACCAAAGAACTCAATTACAGTATATGTAGTTTGGTATATCATTGATTCTCCTTAATGCCAGTTCATTTGCTAACATTATGACGTCTTCTCTCTAATTTCATGAAATTTGGCTCTTATGTGAATATTGGAAAATTGAACCAGCGAAATAATAAAGATGAAAAATTACAGGTTAAAATGAAATGTCGGTTAACAAGTACTGAAACTGAGTGTTGGAGGTCAATTAGTAGTGCAAATAGCATCTCATCTGATATATCAAGTGAATTACTATGTCTGAAACTTCTGGTGAACCTAATGGTAAGATTGTTGCTACTGAAGGAGAAGTTGAATCTCAAACGAACATAGATGTAAGCAATGCTAAGCAGGACAACCAGAAAGATGATAATAAACCAGTTTTGCCTTGGGAGAATAGTAGTAAGGATATCCAAGTTAAAACTTTCACTGGTTACACATTGAATTTGAAGGGTTGGATAAGAAAAGATATTAAAGAGAAGCAATCTAAAGAAAGAGAGGAAAAGAGATTAGAAGAGGCCAAGAAAGATGAGAAATCAGCTGAAAATGATGAATCGAAAAAAGCTAATGGTGAAGAAGAGAAGGAACAGAAGGATCCTGTTGTTGAACCAGAGTCTCAAGAAAATAAATAGGTGCCAATTCATAACTTACTGGTTTTTAAGTTTTTGTTTTGCCTTTTTGTTTCATTGATGATATCCAATTGATTGTTTTGTACACATATTACCAAAATTTAGGACGGGTAGATTTGATCAACACAAAGTTATACTACTATTGGAGATATTTATATTAGTTATAAACTTAACTGACCAAGTGGGTCTTAGTTTTTGTTTAAAAATGGGTACTAGCATCAGTGATGTATTCATAGATTAAAGATTAAAGATAAACAAGAATAAAAAAACATATTATCAATTACTATCGAATCTAAAGCATCAATCGCTACAGATATTTAGATAACAATAATAAAAATAATAAAAATAACAATAAATTTGCTCCATTAATAATAACATAACTCAAAATGTTGAATTTCTATATTTTGAACTTCATACTGCTATCAATGTCAATGAATATAGTTATGCCATTTGTCATCGACAATTCCACTAACTCTACTGTTGTTGAAACTAGTGGACAGCAAGATTCTCATTCGTTGTATTATGATTACGATGCGAACAAGATCAATGGTCATCCTATAAGAGGTGTCAATATAGGTGGGTGGTTGTTACTAGAACCCTATATTACTCCATCACTATTCGAAGCATTTAGGACTAATCCAAATAATGACAACGGTATTCCTGTTGATGAGTATCATTTCTGTCAGTATTTAGGGTTTGATGAGGCTAAGAAAAGGCTAGAACGGCATTGGTCGACGTTTTATCAGGAGAGTGATTTTGCTAATATAGCATCAAACGGGTTCAATTTGGTAAGAATCCCAATAGGTTACTGGGCATTTAGCAAATTGGACACGGATCCATATATCACAGGTATTCAAGAATCTTATCTTGATAACGCAATCCAATGGGCTAAGAAGTATAATTTAAAAGTTTGGATCGACTTACATGGTGCGGCAGGATCTCAAAATGGATTTGATAACTCTGGTTTGAGAGATGCATATAATTTCTTGGATGACTCGAATTTAAGTGTCACAAGGAAAGCACTAAACTATATTATGTCTAAATATTCGCAAGATGAATATTTATCGACCGTGATTGGGATTGAATTATTAAATGAGCCACTGGGTCCTGTCATAGATATGAATAAATTGAAAAATAATTTTTTGATGCCATCATATAACTATGTGAGATATGAACTTTCCACGAACCAAGTGATTATTATTCACGATTCATTTCAAGCATATCATTATTGGGACAATTTTATGACAGTTGAACAAGGATTTTGGGGGGTAGTAGTAGACCATCACCATTATCAAGTGTTCTCGCCAGGTGAACTCTCTAGACCTTTGGACGTAAAGATCAAGACGGCTTGTGGGTTAGGTTATTCTATGAAAAACGAATACCACTGGACTATAATGGGTGAATTCTCAGGAGCATTAACAGATTGTACGAAATGGCTGAATGGTGTAGGAAGGGGTGCAAGATATGACGGTAGTTTCTTTGTAGACAATCCTCAACTTCATCGATTGGGAAGTTGTGCGAACAACGATGATATATCTCATTGGTCTAAGCATCGTAAAGAAAACACAAGAAAATTCATAGAAGCTCAATTAGATGCATTTGAAATGAGAGATGGATGGATTTTCTGGTGCTACAAAACTGAAGATAGCATCGAATGGGATGCTGGCAAGTTAATCAAGTATGGAATTTTCCCGCAACCACTGACTAGCCGTAAATATCCAGATCAATGTAATATTATGTAAAACATGTATTTTAAAAAACCAAAATTGAAATAATTAGAACTATATTTCTTGATGCTAATTCACTAGATTCAGACTTCATTAAGCAGACATTGTACTCATCTACTGTCAAATTTCAACTAATTCAGGTCGTTCTGCTTGATTTTCTTAGCTCTGTCCTCTCATTTACGTGACCGGAAATAATTCTCTGAAGTTCGCGATTTGAATAAATACATAATAAGAAATTAAATATAACTTGATGATTTAAAGTTAAAAGCTGATGGTTATCTAATGTTAAAGAATTTTGGATATATATATCTTGCAGTGGCTATATACTGAATTAACTAGCATCAAATTAGCATATGGAACTGATCCCGGTTATTGATCTGACTTCTAATGAATCAGAAGAAGGACACAACAATAAATATTCGGTATTTAATGCAAGCATCAATCATAATGATGATACAGTGAAGGGAACAAATGACGATGATGGAGTAATGAGTAGGGCAAGTACGAGTGATAATAGTGTGATTAATAGTGTAGGTAGTGAAGAAGAACGTACTGAGGGCAGTTCAAAGTTTCCAACAGGGATGAGTTCTCAGGAGGGATATAAATCAGGCACTAAGCGTTTGATGACTTTGAAGAGTTTTATGGATAAGAAGGAACCTTCTTCGCCAATTCAAGGAATGAAACTACGATTCAAAAATAGAGATAATGGAACAACTCCTGTTTCCTCGCAAGAAGGACCTCTTCGATCAGCAGATATACGAAGTTCACCATTGAAGAACATCGATACTAACAACAGGAAACGTCACAGAGAAGAAGAAGAAAGTGACGATTATATTAATATCCACAATAATGGTAATGATTCACATAGTGTGATAGATAGTACCTTAAATGTGAATAAAAGAAGGCATATATCGGAACAAAATATTGAGAAAGAAGATAAAATAATGACAAATGAATTACAAATTAACGAAATACCGACTAACTTTAACCTTAACCAAAGTGTCATTGGAAAAAACATTAGTAGTGATAAGAATATTCTCGATCAAGAGACTGATGCATCTGTCAAAATTATTAATCATGATGAAATTGAAGATGTTACCGCGATAAATGTAACTGATGCCAAAGAGCAGGTATCTCCAAATACAATGAGATTAGAAGTTGGAAAAATATATGAAGATGAAGATGAAAACATATTTCAAAAAGCATTATTGGATATGGGAAATAAAATCAAGAACGATGTGATCTCAATATCTGAACCAGAAACTTTTACTATAATCGAAGAGAAAAAAAATTCTTCAGTGATAGATCTGATACATGATAATAACGAAGTTGATAGTGAAATAGAAGAAATTTCAAGTTCTCCAAACCAAATTTCAAGTAGTACGAAAACAGGCATTGATACAAAAGAGTTATCTACACCAGAGGAGATTCAAGCTAAATATTCAGAAATGATCTCCAAAATTAAATCTCAGGAAAAAGAAATGGAGAGAAACTTGAGTTCACTTAAAGGAAATAATGCCATATTAACTAAAAAATTAATAAAAAGGGATGAGGAATTGACCGCGGCTACAAAGAAGGCAAATTTGCTTGATAAAAGAATAGAAAATGGAAATGGTACATCTTCAAAAACGCAAATATTGTTGGCTCAAGAAGCTAAGTTACAAGTGGAAAAAATTCAGGCTAAAAGAAATATAACGAAGGCAAAATTAGATTCAGTGAATGAAAGGCTTGCTGATTTAGAGAAGAAGTGGGACACATTTGCAAATAGCAGTAATAGCAAGATTCAAAATTTTAAATTAAAATATCTCTATGCCATAAAAAATCAGACCGCAAAATCAGTTGTCAATGATAGGAAGAAAATTTTGGAACAGTTAGAATCCTTGGAGAAACGACTACGAAATGGTACAATTTCGGAAGATGAGCATCGGATTCTTAGAGATTCTCTTCAACAAAAGCTCCAACAAACGAGTATAGAAAACAAGGTAAAGGAAGAAAATAAAAGAAATCAACATGATCTATCAAAATTGTTTGATAAATCACTGGCATCCGCTAGAAGCTTATTGGAAAATAATGCTACTAGATCAGTAGCGACTAAGCAACAACTTTATGATAACATAAATAGGCTGAAAAAATATAAGGAAAATTTCGAAGATGGTAATTTTTGTAAAGCCTATATGATGGAAACGTGTAGAGAAGCTGCAGAAACGTTATTCTATAATGGTGTTAAGATGCCTGTTGTAAATGAATTGCTTCAAGACTATGGTATTGTTTTTAAAGATTTGAATATGCTAAAAGTTGATAAGAGATCACAATACTTTAAGAGTTTATCTATTGCTAGGGAATTAGTCAAAGATTCGGATAGAACAGAGGATTCAAAATGGCAGATTTACGATTACCTAAATGTATTAGAAAATTTTAGACTATCAATTGATAAAGGTATTCCTCCATCACATGTACTAAAAGGACATATTGGAAAAGCTATTATTCGTTTGAAGGAGCTGGGCTTAAAAATGGAAAAGCTTTACGATAATTTAGCAGTTTACGGAGTACCAAGCACTATAGAGGGTATGAAATCTAAATACCCAGAATTGATCAATTTTGTAGGTGATTCTGATCAAAATTCCAGTTATGCTGATTTTAAGCAAGCTTTCAATGAGCAATTGAAAATTAAAAATACAGATGCCTTGTATATCAAAGATTGGAAGAATACTGAGAATAGTGTCAGTGGCACTTATGGTATAGCAAATATCCATGCTGCCGATGACCAACAACAAATAAGAGACCTGTTAGATACCTTAAAGCAGGATGAATCTATTATTGAAGGTGAATCATTGACCCCTGAAGGAATGACAGTTAATCTTCTGAAGCATCAGCGTGTCGGATTACAATGGCTAATAAACCTGGAAAATTCAAAGAAATGTGGTGGTTTACTAGCTGACGATATGGGTCTAGGTAAAACCATACAAGGGATAGCTTTAATGCTAGCAAACAAATCGACAAATGATGATTTTAAAACTAATTTAATAGTAGCGCCAGTTTCTGTTTTAAAGGTTTGGGAAGGTGAATTTCGTACCAAACTAAAGGAAAAGCTGAATTTTTCAGTATTTATTTTTGGAGGAGCTAATGGTGTGAAAGTGTCAGAATGGAAATCCTTATCGGAATACGATGCAGTTCTTGTATCTTATAGCACGTTAGCAATTGAGTTCAAAAAACACTGGCCTGCCTCTTTATTATCTGCAACGGGACAAAATGTTCCAGCTGTAGGGGACTTGAAAGGTTTAAATTCTTTGAAGAAGAAAAATGAATATTGGTCTCCATTCTTCACTAGCACGTCCGATTTCTATAGAATAATATTGGATGAAGGACAAAATATCAAAAATAAAGATACGCAAGCAGCAAAGGCATGTTCATCGTTAATTTCGAAGTATAGATGGGTGTTTTCTGGTACTCCAATCCAAAATAATTTAGATGAACTTTATTCCTTAATAAGATTTTTACGGATTGCACCATATAATAGGGAAGAAAGATTTAAAAGAGATATCTCTTCTGCATTTTCTACTAATAAAAAATCATCTACGGTAACTGATTCAGATTTCCAGAAGCGAGCATTAAAGAAGTTAAGAGTGCTTTTGAAAGCAATTATGCTCAGACGTTCGAAAACTGATAAGATTGATGGAAACCCTATTTTGGAATTGCCTCCAAAGTTTGTGAACATTCATGAAGAATCCCTTGAAGGAGAAGAGAAAGAATTTTATTCATTGTTAGAACAAGTCAATAAAAAGAAAGTTCAGAAATTACTTTCCAAGAAAGTAAAGGGAAATTATAGTAGTATTCTGACATTGCTGTTACGTTTAAGGCAAGCATGCTGCCATTCAGAATTAGTAGTTATAGGTGAAAAGAAAGCAGAAGCATTAAAACTAGTCAATGGAAAAAACTACGAAAAGGACTGGTTGAGGTATTTTAACCGTATAAAGGGAATGTCTATTTCTTGTCGAGAAAATGTTATTTACAGCATGGACATGATGACATGTTTTTGGTGCTTAGAGCAGTTAGAACCGGAATCGACATCTGTTTTAACCGGTTGTGGTCATTTGTTATGTGATTCCTGTGTCGAACCATTTGTAGAAGAATCCTCTTCTGATCGAACTGCAAGAGAAGTTGATAATAGAATATATGTTCCGTGTAAAGAGTGTGGTTCATTGACTGATGATTCTGAGATTACGTCATATCAGTTATATGACAAGGTGATAAATCAGAACTTTACTGAAAATGACTTGAAGAAAGATTATGAAGAACAGGTAAGGAATATGAAGTATAACTCGAATAAACTCATAACAATTGATTTTAGTAAGTTAGAAATGTCTACGAAAATTAAACAGTGCATAGCAGTCATTAAAGAAGTATTTTCTAAATCTTCCACTGAAAAAATTGTTATTTTTTCTCAGTTCATTACATTTTTTTCAATCTTAGACTATTTTTTGAAGAAGGAGCTTAATATTGAAACATTTCAGTATGATGGTTCGATGAATGCTCAACAAAGATCGGATGTGTTGAGTGATTTTTACAAAAGTTCGAGCACTAGAGTTTTGCTTATTTCTATGAAGGCTGGTAACTCCGGGTTAACTTTAACTTGTGCAAACCACGTCATTATTGTTGACCCATTTTGGAACCCTTATGTTGAAGAACAAGCTCAAGACAGATGTTATAGAATTAGTCAAACCAAAACAGTTCAGATTTACAGGCTCTTTATTAAAAATTCAGTCGAAGATAGAATAAAAGAATTACAGGATAGAAAGAAAAAAATGGTTGATGCAGCAATGGATCCTAGAAAGATGAAAGAAGTCAACAGTTTAGGTGCAAGAGAATTAGGTTTCTTATTCGGTCTAAATTCATTGGAATAATTTGAGTTAAATATTTCTATATATAATGATCACATAAGAAGATCAATTTCATAGCAGTATTAGGGACAGCTATTAATCTACTTAGGATAATAAATCATCTGAAAAAAAAATTTTTAATCACAACATTCGATTTATAGGGGCTTACAGAAGAATTGACTACTTCTACTTACACTTCCACCGACTCTGAAGGTAATGTTACCACCGGTACCACTACCTACCCAGTCTCCCACACCAGT